ATATGCACCACTCAGATTTTATAGCCCTTAACATTATTGGTTTTTATTTATTTTAAAAAATCAATCACTTTTAAAAAGAAATAACATACAACTTACTTGTTTCTTCTCCTGATTCTAGTTCTCTCCTGAAGATGAAGTGCTGTCTTGAAGTTGATAAGCATTCTTTGATTGTATATTTTTATATTTTTAATATATAGGCATATACATAAAATATATAAGAAAGCATTTCACTTTTTTTGACATAAAATTTTTGACAAAAAATTCATATAATTTGTCCTTATGTCCCTCCTGTCATTGAAGTCTTTGATCCATCTAGTACAGAGAGATTAAGTTAGGATCTTAGAATATCTATCTATCTATCTATCTATCATCTATCTATCTATCTATCTATCTATCTATCTATCTATCTATCTATATCTACTCACTCATAGATCTGTAAAGAATATATTATGTTTTAAAATTTCTGTCCCACATTTGGAACTGCAAAGACAATAGCAATGTCTTTTTATTTTATATTTTATCTTTTGGTACTGGGGATTGAACTCAGGACCTTGTGCATGCCAGGCAGGTGCTTATGTCACTGAGCTATCTCCTGGGTACCACCAACAGCCTTTTAAAGACAATCTTATGGGTAGGAAAGGTATTCCATCCTGTAACTCTAATGCAAACACTTTCACATTTTGACCTTGCTTATGATTTATGCATTCTTTTGTAGCACCCCCATCACAGTGTACACATCAGTTTGAGATTTAGTTCAGTGGTTGAGTGCCTGTCTAGCACGTGCAAAGCCCTTGATTAAATCCCCAGCACTATACACATATACTGAAGACATGTACCTTTTGATCTTTTCCCTTCTCTTAGATCAAGTTGTAATATACATATATATTAGTTTTCATCTTAATGATTTTTTTTTTGTTTTGTATTTTAGGGAAGGGTCTTAGGGTGTCCAGGGTCTCACTACTAGACTGGACTCGTAGTGATCCTCCTGTTTACAGCCTCCCAAGAGCTGAGATTACAGGCTCGCACCATCATGCCCAGTCTCAATCCCTGTCTCAGCATGTCATGGGGGCGGGGCCAGCACAACAGGCCAGGGGATTGAACCCCCAGGCCCTGAGCCTGCTTGCAGGTGCTTTAATCTGCTGAGCTATTTGGCTGGCCCGATATCCAACTTTTAGATATCCCTTTAAAAACCACTGATGTGCAGAAAGCTACAACTGTGGTGGCCTTTGGGCAGCATGATGACTTTTCATTGTATGACATTTCTACTTTTCAGTGTATGGATTTTTGTGCTACTTTTCACTCATAGAAGTCATTTTATTTCACTTTTTATTATTTTAAAGATTTTTTCTATCTATCCATCTATTTATTTTGTACAGGGTCTCACTATGCAGCTTGAACTTGTAGTGATCCTCCTGTCTCAGGCTCCTCAGCTCTGGGATTACAGGCGTACACCACCATACCTGGTTTCGGAAGCTGGTATTCTAAACCTGGGGTTCTGGGGCCAGCATGGTATGTGGTACTAGGGATAGAACCTGGGTCCTTGTGCTTGCTGGGCAGGCACTTAGACTGCTGAGCTATCTCCCCAGCCCAGTTATTTTATTTTTAAAGTTCTATTTGAAAAGCCAAGTTTATTTCTTTGTTAAAAAGTTTTATAATCTACAGAAAATATTCCATAAAAGATCTCCATAATTTTCAATGTTCTGAGCATCCACACATATGCATTGATATTAATACAGCAACAGAATCCTACTACTGTACAGTCATTAAAATGGCTAAAACCCCAAATGCTGACAACACTCAATGCTGGCGAGGATGTAGAGATAAAAGAACTCTTACTCATTGTCTATGAGAATGAAACATTGGAGGCGATTTTCAGAGACAGTTTAGAAGTTTCTTTAAAAACTTACTTTTATTGTGAAATTTTGCAATAAATCTTCTTGGTATTTTTTAAAAATGCATTGGGAAGCCTTTTGAAAAACTGTAAAATTACTGGAAATGCAGGGCAGGGAAACTGTAGTGAAGTAAGAAAAAAATTGGGGCAACTGAGAGAATTAAAGACTAATATCAGAGCCCCCCAGGCTAAAGTGGTTTGCTGGGCTGCAGTCAGCTACATGAACTTAGCTGAGGTGTTCCCGGGCATTCCTGCTGACTTTTGGGGTTCAAAGGGCAGAATTTATATCTGAAGTTAGTAATGAATCATGGGATCGAAGAATTTATCTTAAGACTTTCTAATTTACCAGGGAAGTTTTCTTAGAATATTTTTATCTGTATTAGATGGAAATAAAACAACATAAAACATGATTTTATTACTGCAACACTACCAAGAAATCTTTATAGACTTTATAGCATCATCTTGAGGTCGATTATCACTTATTTGTGATTAATGACAGCAAGGCAACTATTAGGGAAGCATTACAGTCGTTGTTGTGAAACACTACCCTGGAAACTAAGCCACCTGAGCATATTTTTAAGGCAGTAGCAGCCTTGGAATATTTTTCTAGCTAATTTATGCTTATTAGCTAATCAACCAGAAGTGTGTGTGTGTGCATTTAATAGTATTGTGCTATAATTAATGAGCTGGGTCCCTTTAACTTAGTTAACTTTGTGTGACTGTGGAGGCGTGGGTGGGAAGGCACTGGCCGGGATTATGAATATTCACATGATTTCAATTGGTCCCGTGCACAGAATTAGGAAGAAGTGGCCATGGAGCAACACTCGCAAACAGCAGGAGCTCTTTCCTTTTCTTGGGAGCAGGGAGGGAGTGTTTCCTTGACCGCAGGTCCTTCCCACTTTTAGTCACAAGACTCAGAAGTCCTGGGAGCCAAGACATCCTGCTCTAAAGATGACGCTAAGAAATGGAGAGCCTAAATGTTGTGTCCAAGGTCACTGAGGCAATCCCTAAAAGTCAGGTCCTCTCGTCATCAGCCCTGGTGGGGGTGGGGGTGTCTCCTTCTATGGCACCATCATCTTTCTGTCAGCTCTGCCTATCTTTCTTTCCTGGGAATGCTGATGCTATTATGTCTCCTGGGGTTAGAGAATCTGTGGAAGTCTGGGAGGACTGGAGCTGGGGCATGGGGTTCTCAGAAGGCCCATCTAGGGTGGAGGCCAATTCACTATCTAGAATGCAACCACCAATACACAAGCAAGGAGCTGACATAGAACCAAATAGCAGGGGTAGGAAATTCTACTGGGAAGAATGTCCATTTTATGTTTCTGTAACAGAATACCTATGACTGGGTAATTTATAAAGAACAGAGATTTATTTCTTACAGTTTTTGAAAGTGGGAAGGCCAAGGGTGCAGCACTGGTGTTTGGCGAGGGATTTCTTGTTGTGTCATTCAGCAGTGAAGGGCATCACGTGGTGAGAGGGAAACTGCAAACTTGGATCTCTCTGCCTCTTCTTAGAAAGCCAAATATGCCATTGGGTGGGCCATAGCCTCATGATTTTATGTAATCCTATGCCTCCCAAAGGCCCCATCTGTAAAGATCATCAATATTTGGATTGAGTATTAAATTTCTAACACAAATTTGAGGGACACATTTCAACTATAGCAGAGGGACAGGAGTGTGTAGTGGGGAATGTGAGTTACTGGAGGGCTCTGAGGAGCCGCAGTGGGGTGGGGGTAGGAAGAATGTGAGAACAGAGGCGAGATTCAACGTCTTAAATCCAACCTAGTCAGCTCATTTCCCAGGGCTCAAACGGCACCATTTGCATGTGCTGAAATATATTAGATTTTGTAGAACAAAAAGCCCACGAATTCCATATAGGAGAAGTCTAGTTTCACCTGCACCTGAAGACTTGAAAAGATTCGTCATGATGATCATCCATTAATACTTACCACCCTTTGGGCTGGCGAGATAGCTCCGTGGTCTAAAGCGCCTACTTAAGCAAGCTTAGGCAGGTACAGGAGACTGTGGTTTGATCCTGGCACCACACGCCGCCCTAGACCTGCCCTCAAGGCGAGCTGAGGCGGCCCACAACAAAATAAAGCAAAACAAACAAACAAAAATCCCAAAATAAACAAAAACTTACCACCCTTCCTGGTAATGCACAATTTTGAAAAGGAGATGAACATTTATGATGGGTGCCCTCTGCTGTTGTATTTACGCAACTGCACCATCTGCTTCGTGCAAGGTTCGTTATGAGGCAGACTAAATGAGATGATGAAAGAACCGCATCAAGAACCCAGTAAATTCAGGAGTGGAAAAGGAATAATTCTTCTGAAAATTACGTGAGATGATCTCGATAAAAACTCATAGGTGCCAAGACTGTCACATAAAAGGTGCTTGGTGTTCTGGCTGTGTTTGAGCCAACGTGAGTCAGGGAGATAAAGTCATAATCTTGCTAAAAGCTTTTTTTCTGTTTTGGTGGAGATTGGGTTTCCCACTCGTGGATTCCCCGGTGCTCAGATGTGTGTGTTGGAGTAAATCTGATAAACGTGTGTGCACTGCGCCGTACATGCTGGGTCAGAGCCAAGAGCACTCGTCCACAGGTGAATCGAGGGGAAACTCATGGTGCTAGTAGCCGCTCCTTGGCAAAAGAGTTTCATACTTAAAAAGTTTGTGAAGCATTGTGCGCCGTGTTTCTTTTCTAGGGATTCACAGTACCTGTGTTTATTAAAGGTTCTGAGCAGTCGTGTGGCAAATAAAACTGCCTTGACTTCATTTAGTCCAGCATCTCACAGACCTTGGAAACAGGAAGAAAGACTTTGAGGAGATGAGAATGATCTGGGGATGGGGAGAATGGGAGGAAGGGATGGAAGAGGCAGTAAAAAGGATCACAAGGTGATATATATTTGTACCAATTAACCACCATGAATGTATTTATTGTGTATCATAAACCTATGAATGTAAAGAGAAGGACTACTGGATCCTTCCTCTCCTGGAATATAGATTATCATCTTGAATAGAGATTGCTTGGAAACCCAGGAAAAGAGCATGTGACCAGATCCTTTGACCAGCTCTTTTTGCTTCTAATTCTGCCTCTCCTCTCCTTCCAGGCAGACATCTTCTCTGGGGCCATATTCATCAACATGGCCCTGGGCCTGGATATATACTTGGCCATCTTCGTTTTACTGGCAATCACTGCTCTTTACACAATCACAGGTAAGTGAGCCAGCAGCCCAAGTCCAGCTCAGGGTTAGGTGTTGGTAAAGGATAAAAGGAAGCAGAGTACATGTTTTCTCTTTCAATGGAGAAGAGCTACACCTAGGAAAGTTTGAGAGCAGGTGTTTACTTGGTCTCTATTACAGGTTATATGCCTAAACTCTGAATGCTCCAGTATTGGCTGGAGTAGTCAGGTACCTTCTCAGAGAATTGTAGGCAGAGCTTGGCTCTGTGGGTCGTGGAAATAGCATGGCTCAGCTAGGAGAATCGGAGGCGTGCTGGGTGTGAAGATAAGTGAGAGCAGGGAATATAAATATGAAGGGGGATGGGATGGGGCTGAGGAAGGTGGTCAAGCAGATACTTTGGCTATAGGAGGATGGCCCCTGGGGAGTAGTGCGGGAGTGTGTAGGGCAGGAAGCTTGATCATCTGCGTGAGGAGCAAGGGCCTTGGGAACCTGACAGAGGGATTAGATTTGATGTGATAGCAAGCGGGAGCCAGCGTAGGGAGGGAGAAAGAGAGTGACACATAGAAGTAATTTTTAGCGGGACTTAAAATGTGGCCAGATAAGCTGGTGCATGAATAGAACTGAGGGCTCCTTTGCGGAAGTCTTGCTTGGCCTAGTTTGAGACGGCAATGGATGAGCAGTGGAATGTGGTCCTCCACTGAGCGCCTCATCCTTGAGGATAAGAAGATACTTAGATGGGTTATGGGACGGTGAGCAACAAAGGGGTCCTCTGACATGTGCCAAGGTGCTACTGTTCTCAGGCACCTCCACAGCCAGTTTTGCTTTGCTTTGCCTGCATTTGGAAGATGCCCGCTCTTAGCAATGGAAGAGCCATCTCTTTTGTGCTGTCTAATTAATGGCTTGAAAAGTCACACCAGGTTCTTCCCACTTAGGTGTAGAGAAACACTCTCCCAAGGACTTGCAAACATTTTTGTGAGAAGTGGAGGGGACCTGCTGAGCAGTAGCAGATTACTTAAGAAGGATAAGGGGTGGAGGGAAGGAAAGGCAGTGGGTGACCAGGAGGTGGGAGTGGTTTTCAGAAGATGTGAAACATTGAGGGCAGCACATGGGAAAGGTGAGCAGACAGGCCACTTGCCACCGGAGGTCAGACTTGTCCTCTTTCTGCCTGCCTGCACAGGGGGCCTGGCAGCTGTGATATACACGGACACTCTGCAGACGGCGATCATGCTTGTGGGCTCTCTTATCCTGACTGGTTTTGGTAAGTGGGGCTAGGGCAGACCGAGGAGGTGGGGCAGATGTTCAGGGCCCCAGGAAGAGAGAGCAAGTCTAGCCTTGCTGTGTGCTGTTACCCAGGCTGTGAATTTAGGCCTGCTCTACTCTCTCGAGGGCAGTGATCCAGCCCCAGTGGGCCACCACTGTGCATGGCAAGGGGCAGCTTCCTCACCCTTGCAAGACTTAGGGTGGCGCTGGCTCAAACAACTCCTGGACTCCCTGAGGGTCTCTCTCTATCCTGGATGGTTGGTTCCAAATGTGGGTCTGTGATTCTGGGGCATTCTCTCTTGCAGAGAAACTGGGCACAAAAGCTAACCATACTCAAATGTTGTATTTTGAGTTTGAGACTACATCTTTTCTATGTTTGATGTTAAATGTCCAGTTTTTGTAAGTGGTTGATAGTAGGTGATAATTTTCATCTCAATGCCGTTATTTGATAAAATTTAAAGATAGGTCACTCAGTTTTTGGACCTCTGCCTCTTTCTTGAAATATTTCCTGTCAAGGAAATTCTAAAGAAAGGAAAGGCAGTGGGTGACCCTAGGTCTCAGGATGCTTGGTGTGAGAGAATATAAAGTTCATTTTATTTTTTGGTGCCCAAGGCCCTCCCTGTCCTGCAAAGACTCTCATCTACTCTGCTGTTTAGTTTTCCGAGAACTTTCATTTGTTTTTTGTTTTTTGTTTCCAGTAAGCCCTGGGGCAAAGCAGGGGCTGGAATAATTTATTCAAGGACATACAATTGAGAGGTGACAGGGTTCCAGATTCCTCACTTCTTCTTCTTGGTCATCACATTATGCAGCTAGGAGCAGGAGTGATAGGTCTGTGTCCAGGCTCCTGGTAGCCACGTTGTATATCTCTAGGCCTCTCTTCTGAATTATAAGGACTGTGGCTAACGAGGGGGTAAAGTAAAAAGTAGAGCCTTGTCATGTGGTCCAAAGCCAAGGTTTTCATTCGAATAATTAAAATATTTACCCTTTTGTGAAGGACTTCATGGTTGGAGCATGTTCATAGGTTACTGCTTTCGATTCTGACAGAACCCTTCAAGGAGGTTGGACGGGGTTAAAATCCCATTCTGTGAATAGGAAAGCGGAGGCTCACAGTAGGAATGTAACTTGTCCAAGACCACACAGCAAAAGTTTTCTTTCTCCTCTCAGTTTTTCAGGAACCACAGGAAAAAAACAAAACAAAACAACACAAAACAAAAAAATATAAAGAGTTGATAGAATAGAATGATTGTTTTTATACCATTGTTTTGCAGCTTTCCATGAAGTGGGAGGGTATGAAGCCTTCATGGAAAAGTACATGAAAGCGATTCCAACCATGATTTCTGATGGAAATATCACTATCAAGGAAGAATGCTACACCCCGAGGGCCGACTCCTTCCACATCTTCCGAGATCCCATCACGGGAGACATCCCATGGCCTGGTCTTGTCTTTGGGATGAGCATTCTTACCCTGTGGTACTGGTGCACAGACCAGGTAACCAAGCTGTATATAAGGTGGGCGGGGCCTTCTCTATGGCATTACAGGGGCTCCTGCCAGTATATGGCCTGGGTGGCTGGGAAAGTTGGGGTGGGGTCACATGATCTGTGGGTCGCTGAGTTGTGGGAGTCCCAGGTCGAGGACTGGGGAAGCGTGGGTAACAGGAGGTGTCACAGACCTCTAACCTGTCCCTCTCCCTTACTGGGCTTCCCATGGCAGGTCATTGTGCAGCGCTGCCTCTCAGCCAAGAATATGTCTCATGTGAAGGCTGGCTGCGTCTTGTGTGGATATTTTAAGATACTGCCCATGTTCCTCATAGTGATGACGGGAATGATTAGCCGTATCCTGTACACAGGTAATTCCTTCAGCTGCCCTCATGGAACTCTCTCCTCTCTCTCTCCTCTCTCCTCTCTC